TTGATACTCAGGCAATTTATGGTACCTTGTTGACAGCCAGTAAGAGGGTGAGAGTAGTTAGTCACAGAACTCGTTGAGAGCCTGCTCAGTTCTGGGAGAAGACGACTGAAATCCCTTGAAAACATAGTGTTTCGCGAAAAAACTATTTTGAAGCACCTAACGACACCCTTTCTGTACGTTTTCTTCGTCCTTTGGCTACTTGATGCGATGAGAAGGCAAGCATGGAACCTTTTCATTCTCAGAGCGTGTCTGTAGCGTTTTTCACACCGTTAGAGATAGATGACTTTGTCCTCGGGGGCTCGGGTAGGTAATTTGTTACGTGGTGCCTTGGTCATAATTATTGTATCATAGTGCAGGTGCCACAGCGCCTCAGATATTTCTCAGGTTCCCAGCATATGCGGGATTCTCATGACTATTAAAAAGGATATTTACAGACAACTGTGTTGGCTTGGCATGATATGTTCGGGCATGCCATGGAATTCGATCTAACTGCATACCACATGACAGAAGTGTTGGAACCTGTACTTTGGAGCTATGCGGAGGACTTGGATTTGTACTTGCCGAAAACTACGTGGCTTAGTTTGAAGGTATTCATTGGCATCATTATAGCTTTCCTATGCAAGAACTGGACTAATATTGGTCCTGTTCCGTAATTACAATCACTAAATTTATTGCCTTCAGCCGTTCCGACGTGTATGGGGTGGCTCAGCGTGGAAAGGAGCTGACGGTCCAGCCAGATTCAACTCAAATCCTGTTCATTACATCCGAAATCATGAGGCATGGGTGGAGCAGCTATCGAGAAACTACAACGAGTTCGACATGTTACAGGTATCGCTGGATTATATCGTGACCTACAATTACCACTTGGTTCCTTTATTTGTACCATTCAGGGCCTTATACTTGCTGGCTGGTCTCGCTATGATCATTTCGCCATACTTTGCGAATTGGCTCCTGTAGCTTTCCCAACACTTGCTATGTCGATGGAAACCGTACTGGTAAGTCTGACATCAGAGCGCTTTCCAAAGTTGTTTTGGAGTCGTTGCTTTCAATCGACTCGAAATGATAATGGGCGCGAGTCCGCAGGTATTTGACAATGCGGTTTTAATGTGCCAAGCTGGTGGACGTGGTGAGAGACATCATGTCCGATGGACGAGTTGTCTTGCGTGGCCCTTTTGCATATAAGTATTAAAGGGTTGGAAAATTCGATATGGCCCATCATATAGTCTTGTTTGTCCTGAACTCATTAGAGTTTCGCTGCTCTAATCGACGCACTGAAGCAGATAGAAATCTTGTGGCGTATTGCCGCACGATGCCGTGCGCGGCGGCGCAACCAGTTACGGTTGTCTTGTCCTTTTCTTCAAGTCCGTAAGTGATAAACCCTTTAGGGTTCATTTGTGCGAAACATGAAGTAGCGTAATGGAAGGTTGGGCTTCTGCCCAGGCCGGGTGAAGAAGCTTTCAGATATATGAACTAGTTTCGCCTCTGTTTTCAAAGTGTGCTCACGTGGTGATGGTGAAACCAATCTTGCAAGAAGTCCTACCATTACTACCTCTCCCACCCCCAGCTAGCTTACACTGAATAATGCGCTTGATTTAGTACTCATTGTTTCTGTATAGGAAGATTTCTGGACCCGCCTCTGCCGTAGAGAATTATTTTCGACCTTGTTGTCGATTCTTCATCCAATCATAAGCCTCCAGGGGCATCGAACTATGAAACTCGACCCTATAATTCACAGAACCTTAAATGCGGTTGTCTTCAGTAAGGATAGACCACCAAGGCAATTTCCTGCTTTCCGCTGAATCACCTGCAGTGTACTCCTCAACCAAAGGGAATGACTTATGGTCCAACTCTCGCGCGGTAGTAAGGTAGGATTATTACACCTCTGTCTCCAAAAGTTTTGCTGTTTATTCAAGGACACAAGTTCATTTTCTTCACTTATTTAGATTTACGAGTTGATCAATGAGTTCTGGCAGCGAAGAAAGCAGCTACAGCAGTATAGGGAAGATGATTTCGAATTGAACGGGTGGCTTTCTCGTGTAGCCGATACATATATGAGTAGCAGTCAGTGGTATATAGATGTGAGTTTTAGACTAGTTCTCTAGTGCTGACGGACAAAACGTCAACTTCCGCCGTTAGTTGGTCCCTTTTTGGAATACGCCACCATTTTCCACCTCCGCGCAGAATCGTAGTGATTAGAGGCTGAGCTTCACTGATTTGACTTGTGGGAGCAGCCGATAGCGTTTCTTTATACCTTAGACAATTCTAATACCGTTTTACCAGCCCTAGAGGAAAGAAGACTTCGCTGGGGTGGAGCGGGAGCCACTCAGATTTGACCCCTCCGATTTGACCGCGCCCGTGGTGAGCGGCCTCGTTTACCACTACACCACAACTACATAATTCCGCTCAGTATTAGTTTTCTGGGGTAAAAGCCGATAGTGCAGGGTTTCAAAACTATGGTTCGTCCATGGGATATATCTACACACCGATGCAAAATAGTTCCTCATAAAAGCTTCATCTTGTGACAGATACAAGCAAAAAAGAATCTTTCTTCCACTTGACGTTTCTGAAATTTGTGTATTTGGTTCCTTAGATCACTGAAGTTCGCCATAAAATGTTTCCACTTGACGCGAAACTAGGATACCAGATTGCACACAAACTCATCAGTCTTTTCAGCGCTCTCCTAATTTGAATGTTTTGTGAATTATACGAATTAGTATTGCATTTTTTCAGAAGATTGAACCGTTGCTTGAATATCATGCAAAGCCAATCCTACGGTTAGAACAAGACTTACGGCAGGAGCTTTCACGAATTTACTTTCAGGTATGAGTTTTGCGGGCTTTTCCACTTTCATCATAACAGTTTGTGTAACGAAAGGACGAAAAGCTGAAGCCGATTACGTGGTTTGAAGGGAAGATCGTTCTCTTGTGCGAAGGGTGTAGGTCCGTCCCGCTCGTAGTCATCATTTTCGCGACCAGAGAGGGTTGGCAATCTCGATTGCGGCTTGCCGTTACTGTTAGCCCACCATTTCACCTTCCTGTATCGGAGCCCTTGAGTTGTAAGATGTTGCTATCAGTATCTTTCCCTTGCACTTGCGGCTGTGTAACTCGTATAACTTCTTGCCAAGCAACCCTAGATCTGATAGAAGCAAAAACGTGGGCAACCTAAGTAAAACCCGGGCCTTTCTGGACGACTTCTCCGGGCCTGCTCGTTTTATGCCATCAAAGCTATATCCTGCCACCTCTGGCTCAGTAATCGTTTCTCCGCGTCACTCAGTATTAATGCTCTAACAAAACTGAGCTCGTGAAAAAGAGTAGCCTTCGAATTTCGGTGAGCGGGACAACTAGGGAAGCGTCGGAGAAGCCATTTATGAGGCGCCTTCTTCACTTACTGTGCTGCGAAAGTGAGATAATTACTCTGACCACGGCCCCTGGCCAAATTTTTTCAACTAGGGTCTGCTCCACACTC